CTTATTCATCTCACAATTTGCCTGGCATTGTGGTTCCTGTGCCATTTTTTGTCGTCGTTAGGCAATTTTGCCACATCCTTGCTTGTGCCAATGTTAGTCTTTTGTTGATGAAGGATGTGCATGCGGTGTGGTGGACACACGTTTGTGTGAATCCGACTCGGTGGTTTAGGACTCGCCGTGTAGGTAGACCATCGTCGAGGTGTGTACGTTGGCTGCCATGAAAATAAGCCTCTTAGTGGGATGATTGTCTGCTAAATGCTCGTAAATGCGGTGATCTTCAGTAGGGATGTATTGCCATCAAGTTTACTTTGTAGGCAACACAGGAATCGCCTCGACGACTTGGTGCCTTCCACTACTGCAGTGGTAGCAGTGTAGCAGATCGGGCGTGCTGTTTCCCACCCTCCCTTTAGTCTTCATCGTTGTCGTCGTCGTCGTAGTAGTTATTAGCCTTCGGTTTACTAGATTTACTATTTCTGCTGTGCGGCTAATACTTGGTTTAGTGAGATGATGATGATGATGGGGTCCCGGAGGCAGATGAACGTGTGGAATTGAACTCACCCTCCATTTCGTCATATTGGTGAGGAGTAGAATTGACAGCTACTGGCTGTTTGACATCTCTCCTCTTCTTTCCTTCCTTCCCTCCCCTCTCGCACTGATTTTAACCGTGACGGCGGCGAGTTTTTGGTGAGCTTTGCCTCTCTCCAATAACGTCATTGCTACTGATAATAGGTTAGTAGGGGCTGTCACTTGCACATCAAATCGAGTCGATTCACCTCTCAGTCATCCCTCCCTCCTTCCCTCTCTCACGCTCTCCCTACCTCCACCTTTCCCTATCCCTCACTTTAGTCGTACTGTTTACCACCCTTAGCGGTATTATTGTACTTTTCCACCGTTATTATCGTTATTATCGTGCATTTTTGTGTTTTTAAAGTCAGTCTGTCCATTTATGGTGGGAGAAAATAATTAATTAACAAGCCTCACAACCACGCACAAAGCGGCGGAGTATTCCCCCCTCCCCTCGCCTCCGCTCCCCTCTTCCCCCTTTAGTCACAGTGCCTTCTAGACTTGATGTTACCGCA